GTATCTTAGCTGAAAAAGTTAGACTTAAAATAGAAGAGGGTTAAATTTATTTAAAGGTCATATGGAAAGAGTATGTCCTCAAACCCGGCCTAATCAAACATCTCGAACATATCCTAATTTAAAAACTCAAAACTACCTCTCTACAAACTGTCAGTAGACGATAACCGGCGTAAATGATTTATCCGCAGGCTGAAGCCGAAGAAAGGCCGGAATGAATGTTTGAAGGCGGCTCCCTCCCTGTAGCAACTTGCATAAAACGGGGTCCCCCTGTAATTCCGTGGGCTGAGGGGGGATTTTCTGTTTGACTTCAAACACCCTTTTGCCAATGTTGTTAATCAGTTTTGCCGAGGTGTTACACCGCTAAATCGCTTTACCCGGGGCTTTTGCCTCGCTCAATTAAACGTTGGTTCACGCCTCCCGTCTCGACATTGTACGCACTTTTTGCACTGTCTCAATTCGAAGATTAGCAGTTTAATTGAGCGAGAGACATTTACCAGATGTCGGAGGATGAGATAATCTTTTTACCACTCGGTTGTAAATAGGGGGAAAAAAATCCCGTCATCTGTGGTACAAAACAAAAAACAAGTGCTGACCAATCCGAGAGGGCATGTGAATCGGCAAAATTACGGTCACATCAAGGTTTAATTTTTGCAGACAAAATATGGACTAAGATTGTCGCGTATGTTGTATCCTTATACATGTAGAAATAGCTAGATCGTAGTGAAGATGCTTTGTCAGATGATAAGAAAAGCCAATTAAAACAAAAACCTTCATGATTGTTTTGGAACTACGAAGTTGTTCATCACTAGTTTTTCTCCGGTACAAGTCTGAACTCTGATTCTACAGTTCAATTAGAAAGACTGTACGTGAAATTGAATTTGGCTTACTTTAATGGAGTTTAGTTGCAGCTAGATAACGTTTACCCCTTCGAAACTAGAAAAAGTTAGAGTACCTTCATCGAACTCTATCTCACCCACAATTTCATCCAGACTCCTATCAGATTATTACTTGCTTTACTACATGACCTACTTGGTATAAGGAACACAAAAATTAACAAAATTTTTGACAGTCATCTCAAGAAAACCATCACATTGGGCTGTACCAAAAATAATAATTGGATTATTTAAATTCTTTTACTAGTTAATTGAAATTTGTCTTCACAAACCTACTACGGAAGATATTGAGAAACCGAAACGCGTCACACCCAACATAGGGCGGATAGACAGGACAAAATGATTGGAAAATAAAAAAGTACAGATTCGCCACCCCTCAGATCCCCAAGAGGAAATATCACAATTTTTCGAAGTTAAAATTGAATTTTTCGACAGCCACCCCAAGGGTACCAGCACTATGAAACATTGAATTTTATTCATTTGTCATCATCAATATTTTGTTCATTTGTCATCGATAAAAATTAACACGAAAATTTGGAGAGTCATCAATAAATCATATCTTTACATTCATGCTAATATCGAAAGTTAAACATAGCAGATAGATATAGTAGTAGAAAATACTTTATTTACAAAATATAGTGCAAACCATTGAATCATATTTGCAAAAATGGGTGTGGGTAGAAATAGTTGCAATGTATAGAATCGACATAAACCTATAAAAACCAAAAAGGACAAATTTATACTCGCATTTTATAGGCTGGGGCCTGATGGGAAATGTATTAAATTAATAAAGGTAATACAAAAAGTTTACAAAAAGATGAAGTGAAAAATCCCACCTTTCGAGCTTTGAGTTAAAACAAAAGAATCTGTAGTAGTTAGTAAAAGTTTAGTATGACAACCAAAATAAGGAATTGGGCTGGTCTTCTATGAAGAAATATAGAAATGATATGTACAAATATTAAGAGAGAAAAAAAGTCTCTTTTAGGTGGATGTTGTCTTCTCGTCAACTGAGAACTGGATCGGATGGGTGGTCATCCAGAACCTCTTGCTAATTGACCTGGTTTGTTCTCCGGAGATGGCGAACAGTGTCAGAAATTTCTCCTCGGTTGGGAAGGGGGGAGTTGGACATCCTTAAATTTAAAAGAAAAAAACGGCGAAGATAGGATTGCAGTCCCCCGATGGTCTTTCAGTCAATATTACTTTGTGCCACGATTGTACACTGATCGGTAGCTCGAGCCCGAAGCCTCGTGCAGTTTTATCTACCACGAATTGAACTAAATATCTCTAAGTTCATGTTTGGCGAGATACTGTAAGAGGTCCGTATATAATTTCGTCCAATAATGTATTCTGCTTTTCTTTCGATAACGTGTATCTTGTATACGTCTATCTAACAATATAATCTCTTTTTTTTTTACTTTACTTGAAATATGATCTGTCAATGATGCACGATCTGAGATGGCTTGTTAGATTCTGAAACTGAACGCCTACAGACAACCAGTGTGTACTCACTAAGTTATGCAATTTATGTTGCGTCCAACAATAGTGGATTCGGACAACTTCTTGAATTTAATTAATGGAGAAGATTGGACGGGACTGGTTAAACTTGTCATGAAACTGAGAAAAACTGATTATAACTGAGAAATCAGTGAAATGTAACTAGCTATTTTGTTTGGAAGGTTCAGGTGAAAGAAAAACATTACATTTTAGTCAATAATCTGTCAATTCGAAAAGTCTCCCACTTATATTTGATTCTCACAATAGCCGCTACGGCTATTCAGTCTGTCATTGTTTCAAGTATTTTTTGTATATGTTTCGTTTTATGTAAATACAAATGTATACATATATACAAGAATTTTGAAATAAGGGCTTAACTAACTTGGTGCTTTTTGTTCAATTTTAATGGCTAAATCGAGAGTCAATCATTTGTCTGATATGACACAAATCTATTTTTGTCATGGAGTGATTTTTTCAACGTTACATCTTACATTATTTACTTTCCTTTAATAATATTGCTGTTTTATTCTATACTAGAGAAACATTTTTTTAAATTAATTACTTTATGTCAGAATCATGACTCATTTTTGTCTGTATCGCTTCATTGTCTTATCATTTTCATTTTTTACTCTTTATTAATACAACTATTAAAAAATACCTGCGGCAGATTTTGCACGGTTTAGAATACAATACGACCCCCTCTCCTAATATTAATCTTTTTCTAAAAATTTTCTGTTGAAAACACGATTTACCGTAATGCCTACCATATCATAAAGTTAAGGCACGTATCACAATTTCGGGTCTGCCTATGCTCGTTGGATCTCTATGTTATCGGACGGCTAAACCGCTCCCGACCACGAAGAGAATAGGTGGATACAAGTGATTTATAACGATCGTTTGTTAAACACTTGTTGACCCATCGTGTTGACTAACAAAACACCGTCTAAACGGATTAAACAAGCCGAGGGTTTATTTATTTAAAATTTAAAAAACAAAATGTGACGTAGTTATTAATCATTATTTGCATATCAATTTATTTTTATTAGGCGACGCATTTAGTTTTAGATTGATGTAAGAAGAAGCGAAGTCCTGTGCGATAAATTCTTAAGGAGTGGACGGGTTATAAAGTCAGCACCAGGTAATTTTTTCGTGGGTGAGCGGTTTATCATAAATCATAATTATTTCAACTAATTAATATTTTTACGTAAGATTTTGGTTACCATGAAAAAGTCAGTGTCACGAGCGGGATTCAAACCCACGACCTTCGGCTCGATACGCAGCTGCTCTAACCACTTGAGGTATCGTGACTTCGATCCACTCGGACACAATTCCCCATCTCAACCTACAACCTTTCGAATTTCCCTTCTTTTTGCCATTTTTCAAATACCGCTCGTGACAATGACGTTTTCGTTTCAACCAAAACCTTACGAAAAAAGATTAATTAATTGAAAGAAGTAATTTGGTCAATAGACCACTATGGATTTAATGAATCATAATTTTAACCTGACTCGTACAAAAGAAGTCAAAAAATGTGTGCTGATTAGTGACCGTTAGTCGATAATTATTCAGAAATCGTGAGATGCGATTCCATATCGAAGTCACGATAGGTCAACTGGTTAGAGCAGCGGCGTATTGAGCCGAAGGTCGTGGGTTCGAATCCTCTCGTGATGCTAGCTTTTTCAACTCAACCAACTTCTTACATAAAAAGAATAATTAATTGAAATATCGTATAATATTGGCTGGAGGAATCCATCTGTAACCAACCCATATATTTAAACCAGCCTTTTACTCAGAGGTCAGTTATGGTGCTCAAATCAGGGATTTTCAACTATGTGAGATACCTGAAAAATTTCAGCGAATTTGTAAATGAAAAATTACTTTCCGAACCATCGGTCACATCGACCACCCCAAACTTTATGTTGGCCATTGAAACTACCTTGCGTCTTCTACTTTCATCTACTCTCTCACCTCATACAAAATACGGTTTAAAGTCTTTATTTCTTCACAATCCCGAAAAGTTTGAAAAAAAAACCATTTTGGTACAAAAAAGGAAAAAGGATACAACTGTTCCAAATATATTCTTGTCACTTATAATTCCGAACATATAACTGTATGGGGTACTCAATTATCACTGATCCCATCTAAAATAAGTATTGTTTATTCTGAAAAATTGTATGCAGGGTGCAACTTCTGAATGGTTGTTATCCGATAAGTAAGCGTCCCAGCATTGTCTTTGTTTTAAATAATCCCCACTTTGATTTTTATGCATAAGAAAGTTTTTAAATCAATCAACCTGGGAATATTCTCTAATTAGGAGCACTTCTATATTTTAGTGTTGCCATTTAATATAGTTTTTATATTTCTTTTGTGTTTAAGTTGCAACCAATTCAGCAGACGGCTTCAGACATTGCTTTTAACAAATACGAATAAATTGTATGAATATTAGTAGGGTTTTAGTAATGTTTTATTATTATCATTTATATAGGGTTCGTTAATGACTATTTTGATCAATACATTATTCAGAATTAAAATGTATAAGATACAATGTTTTACGTCGAATTGTTAAGCTAGAAAAATCTATCGTACTGAAATTTTTTACTCTTTCTGTTACAGTGTTGGCGTTGGCCGGGCTCATTTCGAAAAACAGCCTCCTAGTAATCTAAGGAAATCGAACTTCTTCCACTTCGTAATCGCCCTTTATGACCGGGCGGGCCAACCGATCGAAATCGAAAGGACGGCCTTCATCGGCTTTATCGAAAAAGATCAGGTAAAATAAATTGTGAATTTGAATGAATGAAAAAAATAAAATTATGAATTTTGTATTTCTTGGCGTTGCTCAAGCCTTGGACAGGGTTTGGCACCCGGGCCTCTGGAAGCTGAAGTGCATCCTACCCAGTACCTTACCCTAAAATCGTACCTGGCTGTCCGTTGCTTCAGAGCTAATCAGGCCGCAGCGATATTCTCTATTCTAGCCAAGCTGACGTCCCGCAAGGGAGCATTCTTGGACCTCTCCTTTACATGATATATACTGCTTGCATTTCTATCTTTCCAGAAACAAATCCCTTCACTTTTGCTGACGATACAGCAATCCTTTGCCCGCATATAGAAACCTTCAAAACCTTTTGCATAGCTTCCACGTTTGGTACAAAAAGTGAAAATTAAAATAAATCCAACAAGAGCCAATACTCACTCAAACGTAAGCAGTACCACCTATTTACTTTAACGGGATTTCACTACCCTCTGTCGAACACGTACGTTACTTGGGACCTGGACAAACGACTTACTTGAAATCCGCAAGCAGACTAAAACGAAAAGAACTAAACAGACGATGCAAACTGTTATCACCACTACACGAAAGACGTTCAAAACTTCCACTGAATTACAAAAGATTAATATATACCATGGTTCGCAAACCTGTGTTCTTATGGTATCGAACTCCGGGGTTAACCAAGCATTCCAACAATCAACGCATCAAAAGATTTCAATAAAAAGTCCTAAGAAAAACTGATAACTCTCCTTATTATGTCTCAAACCTCACCCTACATGGAGACCTTAATATTCCCTTTATTCCAGAAGTAGCGAAAAACCATTACAAAAAATTCCATCAATCCCATTCCACCCATCCCAATGCCTTGGTCCGTCAACTCAGTTCCACTACCATCCCCGATAATCCCCCCGTCGAATGGCCACGTGACGAAGTGAGGTCGCTAAGTGACGAAGAAAATTGAAAAGTGGTCATATTTATTTTTTCTATAGGAGGCTCACCACTGGGTGATTTCTCCCCACATATTTTTCACGTTAATTTTATTTTTAGAACTTTTACGGCTATAATTATTTTACAGATGTAAAAATCAATAAAAAATAAAGAAAAAATTGGCAAAAGATCACGATCAGAATCAACCAAACAAATCCCCTTTTTGCAAGAACAGAATTAAGTCCAACATCGAAAAATGATAAAGGGCTAAATAAAACAGAAGTTTATCAATTTTTCTGACAGTGCTAAAAAAAATTATGTACTATGAAAGCAGCATAACATGACGAATGATATGAAATTATTCGCCATAGTCCTAGGTATTTTAGGTTGCTCTAGTGACAGTTCCAATTTATTCATAAACTATTTTTATTTATATAGTAGTTTTTCTATATTCAATTTTTTTTTCTTTTGAAATTGAACTCGAATTTTGCACGTACGGTAGGATGTTTTGTCTGTTTGGTTTAGAAAGTTCAAACCGTTCAAGCTTCATTTTTATATTCTATACGGCAGAAGATAGGGATCGTACGGAGGGCGTTGCTAAGAAATAGAGGGGAGCCCATACCGAAAGTGGATAATCCACTCCTAATTCGAATGTTCCTTTTATCAATCAGACCTATTAAAAACCTGACTTTTAGAAAGGTTTACTCTCTTAAAATACTGCCCAAACAATTTTTTTGGCATTGGATCGCACTTAAGTTTAAAATAAGTCTGTATGCCGTGTGGTTCATTTGCATTTAAGACGATAGCGCGACAAATTTTTTAAACACCTGTTAGAATTGTACATGTATGGTTTGTAATCATTTTCTCTTTATATCTGTCTTCCCAAATTTCTGTTATATAAATAAAAGAAATAAAGAATATATGACTGCATTCCACATCATCACTTACTTATACATACGCATCCTTCTTGTATTTACAATGAAAATGCTAAAATGTTTTAATCCTTTTTTTTAAAGCACTCGCTGTACGTTTATGGATTTTCATAGCCCATCAAAGACAACTGGATAATTTTAATCATTTCCTTCGTACATTAAGCCTTTTTCATCTTTGACAATATATATAATGCCACATGAATCATGAAATTACCATTATTCTTTTTTGTTATTGCTTTCACTCTCGCTCTCTTTTTTCACTTTCATTTCTTTTTATTGCTTTCTCTTTCTCTTACACTCTCTCATTTCTTTATACATTCACTCTCTCTTCCTATTCGTTCCTATCTTTCCCCCTCTCACTCTCACTTATATTCCTTTTCTATTATTATTGCTTTCTCGTTCTCATTATCTCTCCATTTTCACTTTCATTCCTATTTTTTATTGCTTTCTCACGCATTCTTTCTCTCCCTAACACTCATGCTTTCTTTTTCTTTCTCTTACTCTCACTCACTCTCTTCTTTCTCTTTCCCTTCTATCTGTTCCGCATTCTCTCTCTCTCTCTCTCTCTCTCTCTCGCCCTCTTTTTGTTTTTCACTCCCTCCCGTTATCTTTTAACTCTTATTCCTTTTTCTCTTTCTCTTTCTCTCTCTTGTTTTTCTCTGTCGTTTTTTCTTTCCGCCCTTTTGTTCTGTTAATACTCCCAATACTCCCTGCATTTCTCTCTCTCTCTCTCTCTCTCTCTCTCTCTCTCTCTCTCTCTCCCCTCTCCCACCTCCCTCTCGCTTTCTTTCACTGGCATTATTTTATGCTATCTGTAATTTTCATGTTATTACACTTACAAAGACAAAACTAATGGCTCAACCACTCTGACGATCCAATTTATTGAAATTATTGTTTAGATTAGATCACAGGCATTTTCAGTAACTAAAATAGTTTCACATTCTGAAAATCGTCCAACAACGCAATGAAAAATAGTTGTTGCAATATCAAATAGCATATCTTTGTAATAAAAAAACTGTATTTATTTGGTCGACAGAACGGAAAATGAGAAATAATGTATATGAGTCTTAGATTTTCTATTTAGACTAGCCATTTCGTCTTTCTCGTAAAAACGATGAACTCCTTCATGAACCTTGTCAGCGCCTTTGAATCGTGATAATTGATGAAGTGGTTTAATCGTAAATATAGTCACGTTAATTGTCTGCGCATTCTATTTATCGAGCAGTTCGGTGAGATATATTTGGAGTGAGAAAGGGAAAGAGTGAGAGGGTCTTCTAAGGGAACGATTGTCTAAATAAATTGCCCGTTTTGAGAGAAACGCCAAAAATACGACGTCTTGTCTACTATTTGTTTTTAATTTTACGATTGTTATAACAATTTGTACGTAAAAACTGACATTTTCATGGGTTAGACACCGAAGTCTGTAATTTTGAAAAACATCCAGAACACGTTATTTTAGATTTACATTGTGGATTAAAAATACGGATTAAATACGGTGCCAATTAAGCCACTGTTAAAACCATGTTTTTTTAAATATCCAGGCTATGTTTGAAGAGTTTGTTTTCTCTCGTGTACGTCAGATGTTAGGCGGAACATGTTAATTGACGCTGACGTGGTTTATTGGTTGATAAGGTTTTTCTCCTCCACGTCGTTCGGATCAAACGTCTATTAATTGGGGGCGGAAGGGCGAAGCAGTCGTCGGCCGGGGGCGGAGGCGAGAGGCTCAATTAATTATCAGCCGGAAAAGGAAAAGCGGGTTGGGGCTCAGCCAGTCCGTAATATTTCATATTTCGCGGAATTGTTCAGAGGGGCGTCTGCCATCCAAAAAAAAGGAATATATATACACAAAACGTTGGGTCATGTTAAAAGTTAAAATGTACGATAGAAACCCCCGCCCTTTCTCATTCCTCCTCGAGCCCTCGCAGAGCCTCTAAAACGACAGCGTGGATGTGGTTGGGGGAAAAAATGTTCTTTAATGTCACGGGGATGGGGGCAATGGTGTTGGTCCGACCAGCTTCAATATGTACGATTTCTGAGCTTAATAAAGAAATTTCATCCCAATGACCAACATTTTACTGTTATTTCCATAATTGAAACATCACTATGATAAAAAATTAAATCGATTCTCATGCTTTTTGCATGGAAAAATAACCGAATGGTCTATTTTAATCATCAACTTACGACCAACATGGTCGTCAATCAATTTCGATCAACTACTATCGAGAATCAAGAGGCTCTGCAAATTGATATTTAATTAACATTATATTGTGGTAATCCATATATGTTTAGCGGTCATAACTGATCATATTAATTATTTCAATTAATTATTCTTTTTAAATGAGCTCTTGGTTGAGTTAAAAAGAATAAATAATTGAAATAATTATATTGTGGTTTATTTACGAATGCTGTTAATCAATATTTCGATTTTTATGGAATTTCAGTACATTTTAGCTTTTTTTCATCAAATTAACCCTTTCTAAATTCAGATTAACCTTTTCTTTTTTTTCTTTTAAACACTAAAAAACTTTAGGCTATAGTATGAAATGTAATCATGTAAAGTGAACGTTCAGTCTATTTTTTTAATATAAAATATTGGGCTATTAGAAAACCGTATGAAAATTGATTAGCATTAAAATTAAAAATTATATAACCATAAATATAAAACCAAATCATCCTTCTTTTAATTTGAGATTTTTTAAAATTTTAAAATATTGAGCTTTTAAAAACAACATGAAAATGAATTACTATAAATTTAAAAATTATATAATCATAAATAAAAAACAAATTCTTCTTCTTTTATTTTGAGATCTTTTAAATATAAAATAATTGAGGTCTTAAAAACTATACGAAAATTAATTACAAAAAATAAAATAAAAATAAAAATAATAAATAAAAATAAAAATTATATAATCTTAATTACAATAATATGATTCTTCCTTATTTGAGAAATGTGAAAAATTATGGTTTTTAATATCTCAATTATTTTATACGTAAAAATTACCAAATACCAAAATAAAAAATCATTTTTTTATATTTAATTTTAATAACTTTTAATTTTAATTAATTTGTATTGGTTTAAAAAAACCAATAATACGAATTATAATTATAATTATTTAAATTATCGTATAATATAAATTTAAT